TATTTCCACTTGCTGAACAGTGCACTAAATGGTGTGGTAGGATTATTTCATGGGCATATGTATGCCCTCAGTTCCAACTGGAACTGATGGATGGAATTAGAATTTTAATTGAAGTCTTGTGCTTGCTGGATGGCTTACCATGTCACTAGTCAGTTCTTGTGGCTGTCTTTGTGCTCTGAGTAACCCCAACTCATCTAAAAATACCTTTGTGAAGTTATCAATAGAAATGCAAATCTGCCCCACCAGACAGCCAAAGAATGCCCTGGACCACGAATTTTAAATGAGAAACACTTGGAGATCTGCTCAAAGGAATTGCCTAAGTCAAAGAGGTCTACACTCTGACAGGTCTACACTCTGATAGTTGATCACAAATTGAGTCTTCAAAGGGTGAAACTGGGGGGAAAAAGTGTGTTTCTGTGTTTCTTCCCCGTTGGGATGCTTTGATTTGGTAGCAATCATGAGCAGGAAAGGAGGATTGCTAATTCCTTCTCTTTGTCCTCAAGGACAAGGAGATAGCTCCCTCGGCACATGTGTCCACAGATGATTCGGCTGAGGCACTAGCTAGATGACTCAGGATGAACAGGAGATGGACGCTGGCCCACACCCAGCCTTAGTCACCACCCACCGTGGTGGCCCAGATTCATTCTGTCTGAAACATTCTACTGAAGCTGTCCCAGAAAGGTAGTGTGGTCCAGTGCTCAAAAAGTGTTCTTGATGTGTGGGAAAGTTTGTCTACCTAGCTATTATGGCTAGGACTTGCATTTCTGTTGTTGCTGCTGTTAGAAGCGGGAATCCAGCTCAGGACCTTGCACTTGCCACTGAGCTATAGCTCCAGCCCCCTACCTAGCTATTATGGATTTAGATCTGAAACATCCCTCAAAAGTTCATGCATAGAAGGCTTGGTCCCCACTACAATGGTGACCGGAGGAGACTGACCACCAGGGCTTTCACTTCAGGAGTGGAACAACCCATGGGTCATCCAGGAGCTCATAATTTGACGGTGTTCTGGGGGGATGACAGAAACATGAGAGGGGTACTCAGAGGAAGGAAGAGGATCATGAAGGTGTCCCCTTGGGGACTATACCTCCTCCCTGTCCCCTTTTCTGTTTCTCTGACCCTCTTTCCTGCTTCCTGGCTGCCAGGAGGTAAGATGTTTCCTGGACCACACCCTCCCACCCTGCTGCCCTGCCTTACCACCTTGCAGCTAGTTAACCATGGGCTGAACCCTCTGAAACTGTGAGCAAACTAAATCTTTCTTCCTCTGTTTGTCTCAGGTATTTGTTCTCTGTGATGAAAAGCTAACACAGTAGCCTACAGAGAACACCTCAAATTAAACCCAGGAGGATACATTCCACAGTGTGAAGGGGAGAAACAGAACACTTCAAATAAGAATGTTTCTATCCAAAGTCCAGGGAGTAAAGGTGTCAGACTGAAAGCACAGGACCAGGAGGAGAAAACCCAGAGTCAAACATTAACTCTCCTGTCATTAGTCCCGTCCCTCTGGGAAAATTAATGCTCCTACTTCAGCTTCAGTGTCTCCGAATTAAAATGGGGAAACTATGACCTTCACCAAAGGATTGGTGGGAAGATTAAATGAGAAAATATATCTTAATGTGTCTACAGTTCCTGGGACATGACAGAGGCTTAAAAAATAAATGTGAACATGAATAATTCTCCTCTCATTTCTATTTTCCTGGGTTTGCTTTTGTTTAAGTGTAAATCATTCTGAGCTGTCAGCAAGAGGAAAACGTGCTTCTTTCCCTCCCAGTTCCACAGAGAACTGAAAGAGGATTTAGCTGATGAGAAGAGAGCAAGGTGACCCGGGAGATAAGCAGGGAGCACCCACGCAAAGCGAGCTGACAAAAATGAAATCAGGGAAAATGATTCGGACAATGCCTTAAAAACACTTCCAACAGTGTTCATAAAAGGAAGCAAGCACTTTTAATGTTTTATAGATGACAAGGCAACAAATATAAAAAGAGGTTAAAGATCTCTTGATCTACCTCGATCTTCAAAATGAATCCAGGATATTTTCAGTATTGTAATGCTGAATTTTCCTTCCTGCTAACCAGAAACACATTTTCATTTTATGTCTTAATTTTTTAATCCATATATACTAATTGTTTATATTTACGGGATACAGTGTGCCCTTTCAATCCACCATGCTGTGACACTTTTTAATGTTTACATTCTTAAAAGAGTGGGCTGCGACCATCCTGCTCTTTTACAAAGGCAAGAGGCCAAGGGAAGGATGGCACTTGAAATACTGACCATAAAGTGAAAGGGTCCTTCTCCCATGACCTCAGAAAGGAGAGGGTCACTGTCTCAGAGAGACAGAACTGTGGTCGTGACTTGACCTCTGTACTATGACTTGTTTGAACATGGACAGCAGCCTCCATATCCTACAAATGAATGCCAGGCAGAGAAAAATGACATTGTATTGCTTCTAGGATAAGGCCAAACATAGTGTTGGATTGCTGACCACATTTTGGTGGGGTGCTCTAATCGCACAAATTCACATTCCACCAGTGGGACTTTGTAGAGGCATACGAGAGGAGCCATCAGTTCTTGGCTGTTGACAGTATCATTTCCTACTTATGTAGAATCCCCTTGTGTATGCTGGCTGTATTGATCCTGTGACATTCCACGAGGGATCATTCTTTACCCATCCATGAAAAATAACAGCCAAATGTCAAAAATTAAAACCTGGGCACCACACGTAGTATTCTTAGTTTCCATGCCTCCAAGAAGATTCTTGACACTGGTCCACGCTCTTTTTGGTTATTTGTGGAACTTCTTTCCAAACTATAATACAAGATATATATTGTTATAATAGATAAAATAGGATTACTTTGGGGAGGAGAAAATTTAGGAAGAAAGATCTATTCCTCATCCCTCTGGCCAGCCATGAAGACACCTCTGACTTGAACAGAAAAATCACTGTTATATTTATTATCACAAAGGCACAAGAAAGTTGATGTAAGGAGAAAGAAGCCCAGTGACAGAGAAGATTTCTAGATCAAAGCTGTAATATTTGTTAGAAGTGAAGCCAGGCCCCGTTCCTGGTCTCCTTCCCAGCACAGTGATCTTGGGCTGTGGTGGTTCCAGCATTTCCACGGTCACCCTTTCCTCTAGGCGGCTTCTGAATTTTTAACTTTCTCCGAGTCACAAGAGCGCATCTGAGAGCTTGGAAAATTCTGTGCACATGCCACCATGATTTCAGAAAGGAAACGAGTGCTTTAGGCCGCCTACCCCCAACTTCCCGCATCTCATTTCCTTATTCAAAATCAAAATGTATCAGCTCCCGTCAGAGCAGGGCCGCAAGAAAATGTTGGTCCATCTGCCAAGGCAGGTAAACCTCCCTCAGACTGAGCTCTTATGCTGAGACATAAGGGCTACCTGATACTGGAAGAATAAAATGTAAGAAAAGGTACATTTTGTCATGGGTAGTTTGGAAAATCAGAGTATCTCCTTATCCTTGATCCCAAGAGATAGCAGGTCATGCATTTCTCAAGACTATGAAGATCAGACAGTTGGGGAAAGGAGGGAGAGAAAAGGACAAACGAATCCAACTTCCCCTAGGTCCATATGGAATGTAACCACTGCATTAGGTCCTGTCCTTGTCCAATTCAGTCTGCAGCATGAATCCTGGGCGGAATGAAGTTTGTGAACCGAGGCACGGCTGTGTTCGCTGTGTTTATGGATCTGCTCCTCCGCTCCTGACAGCAGGCAGTATTCCTGCCCTGGTCAATGGCATTTCTTTGCTTCGTGAGGACTTCCTGGGCCCTGCCTTTTCTGTATGTGCACGGAACTGTTGTGCTTAGCCCTCCCGGAAACACAAGGAGCGTTCAGCTAGAACACATCTCTGTATTTAGGAGCTCAGGCTCAACTACTTGGCACTAAAATAAGATCACATTCTGGGGAAAGTTTCAAAATGACTTTGTGTATGTGTGTGCGCATGTGGGTGTGTGTGTTAGGACACTAACACAAAGACAATTTCTATGGTTTTCTGAGGCAAAAATGAGCCCTTCTTGTTTCAGCCTTTCTGGTTGTTTTAGTGCCCGGTGAATGAGCAGTTTAAGAGCTTATTCCACTTAAAAATTAATTAGAACTGACACCTCCCCCAATGGGCATTGTTAGGAGCAGGCATGTCCTGCTACGCCCCTGGGAAGAGCCCGTAGGTAGCTGTCTTCATGCACGCAGAGGGAGTGGCCGCTCCTTCCTAAGGTTTAAGAAAACATGAAAACCGCAAAGAATGTTTGAAATCATTTTCTGTCTGTTGGCAGGATGGAGCCTTTCCTCAAGGAAAGTGCCTGAGGCCCAAACAAAGCCTCCTTCACTCTATGTCTATTGTTTGTCCTTGTGCAGACTCTGGATTGCATAAAGTTTACGTTTGATGCAGGGATTTCACTTTTCTAGGAAAGGTTTCTAAAGGGGCGGAACAGGAAGCGGGCAGAGGGTGAAGTGTGAAAAGGATCCATTGTACCAAGGACGGAGCGCTTCAAGGAAGCGCAGGCAAGTAGCTGAAAGAAAACCAGCCAACGTGGATGTGATTTTGTCCAGGGGTCGTGTGGGAGCCGTTGGCTGGCTTCATTTACAAGGCAATTGTCAGACCAATCTGGAGAATATGGATGAGGTGAGCTGCAGAGGTGGAATATGATTCTAGATCATCTGTAACTTTTCAAATACAACCTCCCTCCTCTGATTTCAGAGAAAATGTGACTCCAGTAAAGAGACCCGGCAGTTATTTGAGTGTGTTCACTTATTATCCCCCTGTTCCAACGCTGTTCCACCCAAAGTGAAATGATACAAAATAAAGTGTGGTCATCGGCCCTATAGTCTCCTGAGAGTAAATGGACTAAACCTGCGCACATACAAACAATCCCTGGGTGGGTGGTCAGAAGCCTCCACCAAATGGGTATGCAACGTTCTCCTGGAGAAAAACGCTCGTTACAGAACTCAACCTACAAAAGTTTTTAAAAACTGAAGAATGATGATCATACTTTGAAATGCATTTATTGTACAAAGATGGATTCTCGCCGATGTCCTGGAGACACTCACGTGAATAAAATAACACAGTCTGTGTTCACTGAACTGTAACCTCCTTACAGTCAAAGACCGGGCCTTACTGGGCTTTTACATCCAGAGCTCTGAAAACAGAAGTGGTAGCAAGAAAAGAATAAACAGACGGGCCCCACTGGTAAAGATTTCAAAGCGGGTGAGTCCGGTAGAATTTATCTCTTATTTCCATTCTTTGATGCTGAAGGTTGAACTTGGAGCTCTTCGCCCGCTGGAGCTGCGCACACACTGCTCGACTGCGACAGACTTCCAGCCCCTAAATATTAAGAGGGAAACCAGAAGACTCAGCTATTCCAGCTAAACGGGCCTGGGTGGGTGGCCCATCTGTTAGGAAAGAGGGCTTGGCGCGTCCAGCAGGGCGCAGGAAGGGCCAGCCTTGGTTTGCCTCGGGTGTAATCCCTGCTCGAGCCACGCCCTGGCTTTGGGAACTCTGCTATCTAGGTTCCCTGCACAAGGTCAAGCATCTGTGCGGTTCAGCACTCCGCACGGACTTGTTTAACAAAACGTTGGCGATACTTCAGATTCTTGCGTGAGGGCAATTGCTTGATATATTTTATTTTGACGTTTTTTATTACCCTAAAGCCTTCCATTTCTAAAGTTTAGCTTTTTGACTCCTGTCCCACCCGTGGAACGAGGACAGGCCCTGCTGATAGGACTTCGTCACTTGGAGGATGTCAGACATCCTCCAAGAACGCCGGGTCTTCGCTGCATGAAGCCCAGAAGCGGTCTGGGCACCGGTTGCACGTGGATTGGGGCGTCTCCTTGACCTTTCTGGTAGAAAGGTGACTGTGCTACCCGGAGCTCTGGGCTGCCAGGCTGTTTTGCTGGAGTCCACGTCTAGAAAAGCCAAGGAGGGAATGCCAACCCCTTGACTACTGCGCGTGTCCACAGACAGAACGCCCACGAGAGCCCGACAGGAAGGCGTGCTGCCCAGCTAGTACGGAGGGGTCACAGCAGGGCCTCGGAGGGGGGCTTTCAGCACAGCTCTCCCGAGAGTCGCAGGACACACAGGACGGTGTTTGTGCAAGCACCGTCACTGCGCTGGTCGTCGCTGGTCACTGGTTTTCTTCCTCCACCTCGTTGCAGACAGCTGCAAACTGGAGGAAATCTTAGAATTCAGTTTCCCTTCCTTACACTGAAAGCGCCAGCCCTGGGTACCCGCGCTGTCCTCTGGGGCGGGGGTCCCCTGGGAAGTTAATATGGAGGCCCGTCCGCAGCGCAGGAGGAGGAGGGGCAGGGCCAGCGGCCTCTCCGGCCTTTCGCTTCTGCGGCCCCTCCCCTGACTCCCGCCCCTATTTAGGGTCGGGGCGCCCTGCGAAAGGAAACCAGGGGCGTCCCGGCTGCATTCCTGGGGCCGTGCCGGTGGGCCTGTCTGCGGGCGCCTCGCAGCACCCGTTCGGTCCGCGCCGGCACCTGTTGGGCGCAGCCGGCGGGGC